TTATATGTGGTAGATATTTTGTGTGTGGTAGATATAATGTGTTGTAGATATTATGTGTTGTAGATATTATGTGTGGTAGATATAATGTGTTGTAGATATTATGTGTGGTAGATATTATGTGTGGTAGATATAATGTGTTGGTGGTAGATATTATGTGTGGTAGATATAATGTGTTGTAGATATTATGTGTGGTAGATATAATGTGTTGTAGATATTATGTGTGGTAGATATTATGTGTGGTAGATATTATGTGTTGTAGATATAATGTGTTGTAGATATTTTGTGTTGTAGGTATTATGTGTGTGGTAGATATGATGTGTGGTAGATATTATGTGTTGTAGATATTATGAGTTGTAGGTATAATGTGTTGTAGATATTATGTGTTGTAGATATAATGTGTTGTAGATATTATATGTGGTAGATATTTTGTGTGTGGTAGATATAATGTGTTGTAGATATAATGTGTTGTAGATATTATGTGTGGTAGATATTATGTGTGGTAGACATTATATGTTGTAGATATTATGTGTGTTGTAGATAGTATGTGTTGTAGATATAATTTGTTGTAGATATTATGTGTTGTAGATATTATGTGTGAGGTGTTGTAGATATTATGTGTGGTAGATATTACGTGTTGTAGATATTATGTGTGGTAGATATTACGTGTTGTAGATATTATGTGTTGTAGATATTATGTGTGATAGATATTATGTGTTGTAGATATCATGTGTGTTGTAGATAGTATGTGTTGTAGATATAATTTGTTGTAGGTATTATGTGTTGTAGATATTGTGTGTGTGGTAAATACTATGTGTGATAGATATTACGTGTGGTAGATATCATGTGTTGTAAATAGTATGTGTTGTAAATATAATGTGTTGTAGATATAATATGTTTTAGATAATATTTGTGTGGTAGATATTATGTGTGTTGTAGATATTATGTGTGTTGTAGATATGGTGTGTTGTAGATATGGTGTGTGGTAGATATTATGTGTTGTAGATATAATGTGTTGTAGATATTATGTGTTGTAGATATTATGTGTGGTAGATATTATGTGTGTGGTAGATATTACGTGTTGTAGATATCAGGTGTTGTAGATATTATGTGTGATAGATATTATGTGTTGTAGATATTATGTGTGTTGTAGATAGTATGTGCTGTAGATATAATTTGTTGTAGATATCAGGTGTTGTAGATATTATGTGTGATAGATATTATGTGTTGTAGATATTATGTGTGTTGTAGATAGTATGTGCTGTAGATACAATTTGTTGTAGATATTATGTGTTGTAGATATTATGTGTGAGGTAGATATTATGTGTTGTAGATATTATGTGTGGTAGACATTATATGTTGTAGATATTATGTGTGTTGTAGATAGTATGTGCTGTAGATACAATTTGTTGTAGATATTATGTGTTGTAGATATTATGTGTGAGGTAGATATTATGTGTTGTAGATATTATGTGTTGTAGATATAATGTGTTGTAGATATTATGTGTGTTGTAGATAGTATGTGCTGTAGATACAATTTGTTGTAGATATTATGTGTTGTAGATATTATGTGTGAGGTAGATATTATGTGTTGTAGATATTATGTGTTGTAGATATAATGTGTTGTAGATATGATGTGTTGTAGATATTATGTGTTGTACATATTATGTGTGGTAGATATTATGTGTGGTAGATATTATGTGTGATAGATATTATGTGTTGTACATATGATGTGTGTGGTAGATATGATGTGTTGTAGATATTATGTGTGGTAGATATTATGTGTTGTAGATATAATGTGTTGTAGATATTATGTGTGTTGTAGATATTATGTGTGGTAGATATTATGTGTTGTAGATATACTGTGTTGTAGATATTATGTGTGTTGTAGATATTATGTGTTATAGATATTTTGTATGACACAGATTCAGTAGTGTGTATAATAGATATTATGTAGAACACCTGGTATGGTCTGGTAAGTAGGACTGCTCCACCAATTCTAAATAAAAGATATACAATAGATAGGTTTACTAAGCGTTCTCTGCTACATCGCATTATATAAAACCATGCTTCATGTAAATAAATATTTATCTGTTAAGTCTGCGTAACCAGTAGCGTTTAGCTTATCACCAAAAATATCAGTAAACACGGAAAACAAAATCGATAATAAAACCGATTTTCACAGACGTGCATTTATGATAAAATGAATTGCACGCTAATTTTGAAATCTTGAACAACTATTACCTGTATTGAACACATGAGCTCTGAATTAGAAATAAAGTGTTTGATGTGACAATAACTTATGTATAAATGTCTTGTTTAAATGAAGTTGTTCCTGTATGACATCAATATTACTGTGACGACAACTTAAAAATAAAACGTACAAAAAGCTCTCTGTACATACAGCAGAATGTGACAGCGTAACATTGGTGCTGTAATTAACCAGGACTTCAGCTTTAAACAATAAACCGGTTTTACGTGGATAAGATCGGCGTATAGAGTTTTACAATAAGACCTACAGACAGCATGGTGCGCATAATATTGTCACAATCAGTCCGATTCGATATATATATATATATATATATATGTTCGAGAGTAGGAATGGAGTTAATCTCACGCACGTGAGATGTATGTTCTCTCTAGTTTTCCAAGGATTTTACGTGGCCAAGTATGAGACACGCTGTACACGTAAAATGCATTTTTCTAGTGTTAATCTGATACTTAACAACAGCAGCATCGCCTGAACGATCATCATTTTTGCAAATGTATTTCTAAACCTTGGATATTCTCAAGTTGCTAATAAAAACGTTACGCCAGCTAAATACTTGTTAATTTGTTATGGGAATAGTGTAGTCTAGTTTTCTAGATAGATTCTTGAAACCGATGTGTTTCAACAGAAACACTTTAATAACAATATCTCTGATTTCAATTCTCAGCGCAATTTGTGTGTTGCTTTCTTATTCGTCAACTGTAACGACCTGTTTGTCGCTATATTTTAGCGCACTGTTTATGATCACCAGCTTGTTGCCCATCAACCAGGAAGATAGGCTCGTCTATATCCTTCGTTTGCTCCTACTGATAACAAAACTAACACAGAATGCAAATTGATTGACCCGGAGACGTTAGAGGTGGTTCCAAACTTATTTGATATTCCTGTTTTATGTGAGGAAGGCAATGTTGGGCCAATTATCGACCCTGACTTCCCCCGGATATAACAGGACATTGAGATCTCGTCGACACCTCTCACCCTACTCTCACCCCAACGAGATGTCAGTGGATGACGTGGTTTTATTATGGGATTACTATTTAGCTATATATTCCGAAACATGGTGATTTATCATTGATATGCAAGCTCGATGCGATAAGAGCCATACATCATATCATTCTTTGCACACCAGACACGTATTTCCAATGCATGGTTTTATCATAAATGTATACCTATATATCTCCAGCCATCAAACGATGATCGAATTTTAATAACGAACTAATCATACACAGAACTACTCGAGTCTATATCAGGTGACACTCCTAACTGGTGTGACTTAATAAGGAACAAGATGTATTCATATCACACTATGCCCCCGGTTGCAACAAAATTCTGAAGTGGAACATTAAAATTGTACCGTGTAAGGCACGTGTTAACTGCATGGACACTTTAAAGAATACATGTCTTCATTGTGGTAATAAAATGAAAAATGGTCAAAGGTCACGGCCAAGGTCACATGGTCAAAATTTTGGTACCACCAAAAAGACCTTGTCCCAAAGAACACACAGGCGTAATACGGAAGCCCTAACGTTTACGGTGCAATATTAAAGGTTAAAGTTGACAACAGACAACACAAATACAATATGTCCCCGATCTTTGGATCCTGGGGCTTAAAAAAGGCAAAACCTAAAAACAACGTATAGTTTTATCAGTACCAAAACAGAGGAAAGAACAGAAACTGATTTCAGCTATACAATATAAATATGTTATTAGAAAGTTATATATATAAAATTTTCTTGTCGAAATATACGCCATGGAAACCCATTTTTCAGAAATGTCTGCTAAAGGGCCGCCATTTTGTTAACAAAGTGTTTGAACGACACGGATGTATAAATCTATAGTTTACTACTTTAATAACGTCAGAAGTTTATCGACTATTTTCTCCCTAAGTAGCAAGCTATTATCGGATTATTAGTAGGTTACATACTTACTGCAATGTGGAACAAATAGTCGATAAATTGATGGTGCTGTAGTTGTGTGGTATCAAACAAGGAACCGCAGTCTAATATATTAAGTATAAAACTACGAAATAACAAATTATTTATGAAAATTGTTTCCCATCACACAGGTTTGATTTGTTTCATCACGGCTCCTGTACGATGTGTCACAGGACCCAAGTATTCAGACATCACGGCTCCTGTACGATGTGTCACAGGACCCAAGTATTCAGACATCACGGCTCCTGTACGATGTGTCACAGGACCCAAGTATTCAGACATCACGGCTCCTGTACGATGTGCCACAGGACCCTAGTATTCAGACATCACGGCTCCTGTACGATGTGTCACAGGACCCCAGTATTCAGACATAGCGGCTCCTGTACGATGTATCACAGGACCCCAGTATTCAGACATCACGGCTCCTGTACGATGTGTCACAGGACCCCAGTATTCAGACATAGCGGCTCCTGTACGATGTGTCACAGGACCCCAGTATTCAGACATCACGGCTCCTGTACGATGTGTCACAGGACCCTAGTATTCAGACATAGCGGCTCCTGTACGATGTGTCACAGGACCCCAGTATTCAGACATAGCGGCTCCTGTACGATGTGTCACAGGACCCCAGTATTCAGACATCACGGCTCCTGTACGATGTGTCACAGGACCCCAGTATTCAGACATCGCGGCTGTACGATGTGTCACAGGACCCCAGTATTCAGACATCACGGCTCCTGTACGATGTGTCACAGGACCCTAGTATTCAGACATAGCGGCTCCTGTACGATGTGTCACAGGACCCCAGTATTCAGACATAGCGGCTCCTGTACGATGTGTCACAGGACCCCAGTATTCAGACATCGCGGCTGTACGATGTGTCACAGGACCCCAGTATTCAGACATAGCGGCTCCTGTACGATGTGTTACAGGACCCCAGTGTTCAGACATAGCGGCTCCTGTACGATGTGTCACAGGACCCCAGTATTCAGACATCACGGCTCCTGTACGATGTGTCACAGGACCCCAGTATTCAGACATAGCGGCTCCTGTACGATGTGTCACAGGATCCCAGTATTCAGACATCACGGCTCCTGTACGATGTGTCACAGGACCCCAACATTCAGACATAACGGCTCCTGTACGATGTGTCACAGGACCCCAGTATTCAGACATCACGGCTCCTGTACGATGTGTCACAGGACCCCAGTATTCAGACATCACGGCTCCTGTACGATGTGTCACAGGACCCCAGTATTCAGACATTAATGCTCCTGTACGATGTGTCACAGGACCCAAGTATTCAGACATAGCGGCTCCTGTACGATGTGTCACAGGACCCCAGTATTCAGACATCACGGCTCCTGTACGATGTGTCACAGGACCCCAGTATTCAGACATTACGGCTCCTGTACGATGTGTCACAGGGCCCCAGTATTCAGACATCAAGGCTCCTGTACGATGTGTCACAGGAACCCAGTATTCAGACATCACGGCTCCTGTACGATATGTCACAGGACCCCAGTATTCAGACATCACGGCTCCTGTACGATGTGTCACAGGACCCCAGTATTCAGACATTAATGCTCCTGTACGATGTGTCACAGGACCCCAGTATTCAGACAGTAATGCTCCTGTACGATGTGTCACAGGACCCCAGTATTCAGACATCACGGCTCCTGTACGATGTGTCACAGGACCCCAGTATTCAGACATCACGGCTCCTGTACGATGTGTCACAGGACCCCAGTATTCAGACATAGCGGCTCCTGTACGATGTGTCACAGGACCCAAGTATTCAGACATAGCGGCTCCTGTACGATGTGTCACAGGACCCCAGTATTCAGACATTAATGCTCCTGTACGATGTGTCACAGGACCCAAGTATTCAGACATAAAGGCTCCTGTACGATGTGTCACAGGACCCAAGTATTCAGACATCACGGCTCCTGTACGATGTGTCACAGGACCCCAGTATTCAGACATCGCGGCTCCTGTACGATGTGTCACAGGACCCCAGTATTCAGACATAGCGGAATTTTGAGTATAGTTAGCTTGTTATACTAGTAATTAACTTGTATGAATAGTGCTGTAGTTGTGTGGTATCAAACAAGGAACCGCAGTCTAATATATTAAGTATAAAACTACGAAATAACAAATTATTTATGAAAATTGTTTCCCATCACACAGGTTTGATTTGTTTCATCACGGCTCCTGTACGATGTGTCACAGGACCCAAGTATTCAGACATCACGGCATGAAGTGTTTTCGGGATACAACTTGTATCACAGCAACGTTTGTGGTATGTTCTCATAAGGAAAGTTACTCAAATCTCGGTCAGTCAGCCGCTTGATCGCCTTATAAATTTTCCAGTTGTACTAGAATACTGCTGCTGGTTTAAGAGTCCTACGATTGACAATTGGTAATATTTATGGAAATTGAGGCAACTCTGTTTAAAGTACTGTTTCCCAGTTTTTGAATAGTTACGCTCGTGCGACTGCGAGCGTTCGAGAGCTGAGCTCATACAAAAGATGCGTACAAACAGTACATGTGCTTATATATATTTAAGTTAGCAGAAATCTACCCGAATGATACTATATTCCAGGACAATCAAAGCGCATTGGAAAAGACTAGGTCAACATCAATACAATCTTATTGAATTATGACTTCCGTTCTTAAAACGTGAACTTCAAATTTGATGAACGACATCAACAAGTTGGCATGGGATGTTTTAAAACTATATTTTTGGATTTTTTCCACAGCCATTACGCTATTTGTGAGGATGTTGCAACTTATATTTTTTGAACAAATGATTTCGAGGAAATGATTGAAGGAAATGGCGAATTTGTGTCCATTACTAGGAGTAATGTACCAAATCCGGCTTATTTTGTTGAGAATTGAAACTATTATATTCCTCAGTCATCCCGGGAACACAATGACCAGCTTACGTCACAGCGTGTCCGGAGCAGACAATGATAATCGTGGTCGTTATCGCAACAGACCAACGTCAACCGCTCTCTGTCGTGTCCTGATTTAAGGAAATCATAACCATATCAAAATCCTCATCAAGGCACAACAATTACATTCATGGCCGTTATATGGAGCTCGCGATTTCCGTTCTCAATCCTGTGAGGATATCCATTACGGTTCGAGTATATCGGAACACTGTAAGGAACACATGGTTTCGGTGTGGGCCTGGTAAGGATGCCTCATTATGGTCTGAATATATCGGAACACTGTAAGGAACACATGGTTTCGGTGTGGGCCTGGTGAGGATGCCCCATTATGGTCTGAGTATATCGGAACACTGTAAGGAACACATGGTTTCGGTGTGGGTCTGGTGAGGATGCCCCATTATGGTCTGAGTATATCGGAACGCTATAAGGAACACATGGTTTCGGTGTGGGCCTGGTTAGGATGAGTCATCATGGTCTGAGTATATCGGAACATTGTAAGGAACACAAGGTTTCGGTGTGGGTCTGGTAAGGATGCGTCGTTATGGTCTGAGTATATCGGAACACTGTAAGGAACACATGGTTTCGGTGTGGGTCTGGTGAGGATGCCTCATTATGGTCTGAGTATATTGGAACGCTATAAGGAACACATGGTTTCGGTGTGGGCCTGGTAAGGATGAGTCATCATGGTCTGAGTATATCGGAACACTGTAAGGAACATGTGGTTTCGGTCTGGCCCTGATACGGATGTGACATTACGGGACCATGTAATGAACAAGTAATTTCAGGTCACGGTCTTGAAAGAGTGGTCTTTTTTCGGTTCCAGAATATCGGACGATTGTGAGGAACTCGTAATTCCGTACTTTTCTCTGCTAAGAGTATTCCATCGGTGTCGGTGGGATCTTATAGATGTGATGTCAATTTCCATGAAACTGACACACAGGCTGTTCTAGTCAGTCCGCGATAGACATTTCAAAGGAGAGGTGTTATTTTGACGTTACAGCTGGAACTTTTCACTTATTTCATAATGGCTGTCGATGGCAGACATCTTTGACATATCAAGGATGCAGCAATGCCCTTCGCACCAAACGGAAGAGACAGCGTATCACAGACGCGAAAGATTATATACAATGTAACAGTCAGCTTATCTTCTTCGTTGTTCAGAATTGCTACAAGGCCCAGTAACCTACGCGACAATTTGTCTTCTTTTCTGATACAATTAGAGATGTGACATAACAGTAACTGACTATTATGGAACATCCACTTTATGTATAATGAGTTTAATTTCACAAATTATTTTCGCATTAGGGATGCAGTTGGTCGTTAAAAGATCAACAACTTGCCTTTAATCTATAAGGATATGTTATGAGTTGACATGTCGTCTTTGTGCAGCTGGTTAAATCTGTATTTGACCAGGGCTTTGTTCAATTTAGAAACCAATACTTAAATTGGACAGATATTATCACGGAAAGAGTGGAGACGATGTCGAGGTACAGTCATTTGTCGGGTGTACCTTTTATTAAGTAGCTATCCGCCGTCTCCTGGTTAACCACTTATGGGTTAATAATGTGTTCCCTTACGTATAGGAATACTACTGATGGGTCTGATTAAAGAAACGTAAAGACGAAACACGACCAAACAGACCAACTGTTTCAGCATCGAAAATTAACTTTATTTCTGGGAAAGAATTGGTTGAAAGGGCTGGAGGTAACTATGTTATCGAGTTTGTATGGTAGTACACACCATACACTAAACTAGTGTTTAAAAAGCGTTGTGTGTGCTTAATGGACATTTGAACAACAGGTCAAGGGTTTGAATTGTGCTGAAAACCCTTTTTAAAGGTATGGTAATTGTAACATTAATAAGACATTCAGCGTTATCCACTTGGACAGAGGCAAAGAGGCAAAGGATAACTAATTTGAACCAAAAAGGCTCAAAATCAAGCGAGGACAATGCTTGCAAAACGTATAAAAAGTGAGAAAAAAGGCTGGGAGTTTTTTTTACTGAGGTGTTTAATCTTGGCCTAAATCGAGTTTTTTTGTATACCTCAGTCCCAAAATTGGGCTCTTTATCATTTAAGCAGACGCATCTACTGTCTGGTATGGGGACATCTGGCCAGCGCTGATCCATGTTAAAGTTTGGTGTTTTAGTGTCTTACACTAGAATATCCCTATATGACGTTTCCGTTATACATACCTAGCAGACTGATGTGATTTGTCGTTATAACGAGATATAATCAGCGGTCAAAATGTCTGTTCAATATCATCTCAATTATAACAAATCCGATAAAGAACAAAGTCAGTATGAAATCTACACCTCTCATTTATTATAAAGATTTAAATGTAATGATAATCTTATATAGCGAAATATGTTGCCTTCCAAAGCCACGTCATTTATCACGAAGATAAATGCCTGTTCAATTTAAAATCCATTCGAATATGTTTGGTACTTTTCCATATACCGCAAATCGCCATGTATTCCTCAGGTCACTATTATCATCACATTCCAATGTCAGTCGGTTACAGTGTGATCAAGTGACCGCAGGACACCTCAGATATGTATTACGGCGCAATTTACTTATGCGATATATGTGATTGGACGTTGTCAATCGGGGACGTGGCATTACTTTGACAAAGGTTTACTTGGTGGGTGTCGTCAATGAAGACGCTTCCCATTCCTGAACATCTAGACTTAATCACCTTGTATTTTTTCAGGAGGTACCGTGTAAATCTTTCTTTTGATCACATTTTACGCTTGTTTTATTGAATTTGTGGGATTATATATATATATATATATACATAATTCTAAAAATATATTGTCATTTTCTTTTGTTGGTTTCATTTAAGAAATTCATTGGACACATCTGATGTTCTTGAGTGAATTTAAGGGGCTAGGATAATCAATGTATACAGTCCATGTAAAGGGGATTCGTTCGTGTGATTGGAAAGTGAACACAGTGTGAGGTCTTTCAATGTTACGTACTTAGAAAGTGAACACAATGTGAGGTCTTTCAATGTTACGTACTAAGAAAGTGAACACAATGTGAGGTCTTTCAATATTACGTACTTAGAAAGTGAACACAATGTGAGGTCTTTCAATATTACGTACTTAGAAAGTGAACACAATGTGAGGTCTTTCAATATTACGTACTAAGAAAGTGAACACAATGTGAGGCCTTTCAATGTTACGTACTTAGAAAGTGAACACAATGTGGAGGTCTTTCAATGTTACGTACTTAGAAAGTGAACACAGTGTGAGGCCTTTCAATATTACGTACTTAGAAAGTGAACACAATGTGTGGTCTTTCAATATTACGTACTTAGAAAGTGAACACAATGTGGAGGTCTTTCAATGTTACGTACTTAGAAAGTGAACACAGTGAGAGGCCTTTCAATATTACGTACTTAGAAAGTGAACACAATGTGAGGTCTTTCAATATTACGTACTTAGAAAGTGAACACAATGTGGAGGTCTTTCAATGTTACGTACTTAGAAAGTGAACACAGTGTGAGGTCTTTCAATATTACGTACTTAGAAAGTGAACACAATGTGGAGGTCTTTCAATGTTACGTACTTAGAAAGTGAACACAGTGTGAGGTCTTTCAATATTACGTACTTAGAAAGTGAACACAATGTGGAGGTCTTTCAATGTTACGTACTTAGAAAGTGAACACAGTGTGAGGCCTTTCAATATTACGTACTTAGAAAGTGAACACAATGTGAGGCCTTTCAATATTACGTACTTAGAAAGTGAACACAATGTGGAGGTCTTTCAATGTTACGTACTTAGAAAGTGAACACAGTGTGAGGTCTTTCAATATTACGTACTTAGAAAGTGAACACAATGTGAGGCCTTTCAATGTTACGTACTTAGAAAGTGAACACAATGTGGAGGCCTTTCAATATTACGTACTAAGAAAGTGAACACAGTGTGGAGGCCTTTCAATGTTACGTACTTAGAAAGTGAACACAATGTGAGGTCTTTCAATATTACGTACTTAGAAAGTGAACACAATGTGAGGCCTTTCAATATTACGTACTAAGAAAGTGAACACAATGTGAGGCCTTTCAATGTTACGTACTTAGAAAGTGAACACAGTGTGGAGGCCTTTCAATGTTACGTACTTAGAAAGTGAACACAATGTGAGGCCTTTCAATGTTACGTACTTAGAAAGTGAACACAGTGTGGAGGCCTTTCAATGTTACGTACTTAGAAAGTGAACACAGTGTGGAGGCCTTTCAATGTTACGTACTTAGAAAGTGAACACAATGTGAGGCCTTTCAATGTTACGTACTTAGAAAGTGAACACAGTGTGGAGGCCTTTCAATGTTACGTACTTAGAAAGTGAACACAATGTGAGGCCTTTCAATGTTACGTACTTAGAAAGTGAACACAGTGTGGAGGCCTTTCAATGTTACGTACTTAGAAAGTGAACACAATGTGAGGCCTTTCAATGTTACGTACTTAGAAAGTGAACACAATGTGAGGCCTTTCAATATTACGTACTAAGAAAGTGAACACAATGTGAGGCCTTTCAATGTTACGTACTTAGAAAGTGAACACAGTGTGGAGGCCTTTCAATGTTACGTACTTAGAAAGTGAACACAATGTGAGGCCTTTCAATGTTACGTACTTAGAAAGTGAACACAATGTGGAGGCCTTTCAATATTACGTACTTAGAAAGTGAACACAATGTGAGGCCTTTCAATGTTACGTACTTAGAAAGTGAACACAGTGTGGAGGCCTTTCAATGTTACGTACTTAGAAAGTGAACACAATGTGGAGGTCTTTCAATGTTACGTACTTAGAAAGTGAACACAATGTGAGACCTTTCAATGTTACGTACTTAGAAAGTGAACACAATGTGGAGGCCTTTCAATATTACGTACTAAGAAAGTGAACACAGTGTGGAGGCCTTTCAATGTTACGTACTTAGAAAGTGAACACAATGTGAGGTCTTTCAATATTACGTACTTAGAAAGTGAACACAATGTGAGGCCTTTCAATGTTACGTACTAAGAAAGTGAACACAATGTGAGGTCTTTCAATGTTACGTTCTTGGAAAGAAACAAATTGAAGTAAGCGAACACATATAATCACACTGTCTTGTAAATTTAAAAGTTGAAGTATAACGCGCACAGAAAAATACTTTTGATACTTTTCCATTTCGTTAAATCTTATAAAGACACCATTTTTCTACGATTTACAGCAATGTGAAAAGGCTTGTTGTGACGCGGGTTAAGATTTAAAGTTTGATATCACGAGAAATCTGTATATTTAAAACTTCTATTAGGTTGATAAAAGAGGAGAGACATTTGGTTTTCACGAAAACCAGTTGAGATTTCCTAACCGAGTTTGTAGTTTCAGATTACCACATGTAATATTTGAGACTGTACAATTTTGGTCGCGTTGCCATTCACAATATCAAATCCCAAAATATATGTTCTCTTCTTCATCAGACGCTTATCCTGATCTTTCCTTGCAACGAAACCAACACAAACAGCTTACTACCAAGCTGTATGATAAGCGTTATGATTACGATTTCCCAGTTGTGAATTTTCCATTTCATGGTAGCAACAGTCCTGCATCCCCCAACCTATGATACATGCATTTACATGTCGGATTGTTTCGATATTCAAAGACCTGTTCCCATTATCACCATTTGTGCGCAAAGAAGTCGTCAACTGACGGACAAATTCGTAACACGAGGTTTCATGCATTGTAGGTTGATGAATATTATGGGGAAGTTTTCTGATTGTCAAAGAAATATCATTGAGCAATATTCTATTTCTTTGTGTGATTTTGAGCTGGACGTGTTTGATTCTAGCTAGTTTGCCTGTTGGTTCCGTTAAAGTATACCTTGTTCTCATTTGAAAACGTGACCTACTTGCTTGGACAGACATATATTTACGTGACGGGTGTCGGCGATGAAGCGGTAGACGCCTACTCTTGTACTCCTTGTACTTTCCAGGAGTCTCCGTGTAAATCTTTAGCATGGTATGCCAACCCAATTACACACAGTCAAGTATTACTGAAATAAGAATGAACGTTGAATAAAAGGTTAAAAAAGAAGACTTTTGAAAAAGTCGGTGTGATTCTCATTTAAAAGGCGGATTTAATTTAATCCAAACTGTTTTGAGTACATAATGTAACATTAACTTAGGTATATGTTTTATATTGGAAATTTTAAATAAAATCCGACCTGAAATTTGATACTCTGGGAATTAAACTTTCTATATCCTTTTAACTAATTACTAACTAATTACTGCCGAGTATTTTTATAAAGAATATCAGCATTATGATCGAAGTCAGCCTAATTTTATGCTGCATTATCTTTTACGTAGTTTTTTCTGCAACTATCCAAGGCGAATTTTCCAGACTTTTGTTTTACAAAATAAGGCTCAAGTTCTGCAGATTATGGTATCCTGCAAGGAACTGGGTTACTTCGTCGCAAGACCGCATCTCTAAATATAAGTTATCGAATTTATTCAATCATGGGGCTGCTGCACCTCCCCGTCAAAGTTTGACTTTTCTTTCGGTCACTTTGGATTTTCCTCAGTCGCCTCCAAGGCTTCAAAATCTAGACTCTTGGCACTGCAGAGTCCTAGAAGGACGAAATAGCTGTATGATGTAGTTGAATTAAAAAATATTCTTATCAAAGCTTATCATATATTTCTCAAGACAAAAATAACAGATACAATATGTAAATGTATAAATGTCATAATTAAATGAAAGATTTTTCTATAATAAATCACTACGCGTAACCGCATGCTTGACATGACGTGAGGTCACAGACAGCTAATTCGCGCCATTTTCAGTCATCCAAAAATTATACATGAGATGATGCCTCACATTCCAAACAGATACAACAGATAAGGTGTTGTTGATGTTTGCTAGATTTTTTTTTATCTAATTCACCAATCATAACTCAAAATTTAATTGTTTATGTACATCGTAAGATATTTGAATATCTTATGATGTTATCCGATTTTTTTTACATCATTAAAAGAGTGATCCACAAAGCGGGTAAATGTGCAAAAAGATTGTCCATTCTTACAAAAAAATAGTTCCAACAAACCCGCCGTAAGGTGGCGTGTTGCTATTGACTCCTCCAATCATCATCGAGTGGGCGAGGCGAGATGTTTTTTTTTCTTTTAAACCTGAAAAGAAAAAAAAGACGAATTGGAAAGCTGCATCCAACTTTCTGTATTGCTTTATCCGTCTCAGTGTTTGCAAGAGAGCTGTCTCAATCTTGAGAATGTACAAAATGGAGTCGAAAAATTATCACTTTTTCTTGATTAAACCACTCCGGCATGGACTAACATTCCCTCTGGTGCTCTCACCCAATGCTTTAGTTGAAAGTTATGAACGCAGATAAATGATGTACACATGTTATTCTCTTTATAGGTGGACCGTGTACTCCGGAGCAACATCGGTGTGATAATGGCCGATGCATCTTCAAATCTAATGTTTGTGATGGAATGTGTGACTGTGGTGGGACATGTGATGACGAAAATGGATGTTGTAAGTTTCTAAATAGTTTACTGTGCTCTCTACGGATAAAATCATTAGTGCGAAATAAAAGCACTTGTATACACCATCGTTTACAATTGTTTACTGTCCATTCATTGTAATGAAATCAACAGCGGACTCGAAACCATGCATAGATACATACGGAATAAAAATTCAATAATTCTGAACGTAGATTGTGTTTAAAATCTAGTGCTGACCTTTCATCGTATTCTGTGGTGCCCTCCTGTATCTTGTTTACAGACTTAGATGAGATAGTATTGTATATAGAGATCGACCTTATGTTCCGTGGAATGGTATACACGTTTAACACAATGTTATTTATCATCTGAGTGGCACCACCATTGCCGGAAGTCACCTTTTGCTGTATTCGACAGTGACGGAAAACAGCTGTATGTTATCACGTGCGTTAATTCGACAGAGATTTTGTATGTTGTAATGAACAAGTTTATTTACGAAACTTCATAAAATTGCTGCCACATTCTTTAAAGCTTGTAATTATATTTCTACGCGGAGCAATTATTTTGGCGTACATCAACAGGCTAGATTCAGCGTCAACGTCAGGTAAATAAGATTGAACAATAAAACAAAAGTTTGGATTGTCTGATTTTCAACCAGTGTCACAGGATAAATAGAATACTTGGTCAGTGTCTTCAAATATAAGATGCATTTTGACTCGGGACAGAAAGACAAAAGCGACTCGCCGGAGACTCGCCTCTTTAGTCTTTCTTCAACATTGCCAAAATACAGCTTATGTTGGCCTGGTCTAATACTTTTTTAAGGATCTTTGTTTGTTGGTTTAAGCTTGGTAATGAGGTTTTCTGAATCCTGAATGATTAAATTTACAAGAACAATACGAGGAAGCATTAGCAAATGCCATCGTAATATATAGCGTCTGGAATGCTGGGATATTGATATATAAATCGTTGTAGTACCATTTTCACACTGTTTAAATAGTTGGTAGAATTCGATGAAAATTTTAAAATCTTGGTCAATCAATGTCCATATTGACTTACGTAAAAATGCCTTTAACAAACAAATGGGAGAGATTGGAAGTGTTGTGATCGTTGCTCCTTGTTTTGATTGTTTCAGTATCTCAAGCTTGTCCTATTGGCGACACCTACATGTGTAAGCTGAACGGCGAGAGCAAGAGGTGCATTCCTAAAGAATACGTTTGTAACCAAGACAACGATTGTCGTAATACCAAGGACGGTGCAGACGAGTTCTTCTGTTGTGAGTGTTCTCTTAACCGTCTTTGTTTTCTCATTTTTTAATCTCAAACACAAAGGTTCATGCTATCTATATTGTAACGACCAAATTAATCAAAATGCTCATACTTTTCACGTGTATACCTACTGCCCGAGTATACACGTTTACCTTGTCACCAAGAGGTTTTGACTAGGTATGATATATCTCATTCACACTCGTGTTAGGTTGGTTTTCTCACATACTTAATCAGAAGCAAATTGTAAGTTGTGAAACCTTTTCATCGTCTCACTCTTCACATGTGGGACACCAATAACTATCGATAATTGACGTTGTCTTTAGAGTGTTCTCAGCAAAGGCTACCAAAAAGTTGTAAAGGTAAAAAGGGTGGCTAGAGATTTCTATAACAACATACCGTTTTCCTATTGTTTGTGTTCCTGTGAATGACATCAACAGAAGTCTATTTCATTGCCTGTTTAAGCACGTGCATGCACGCACATGATTCAGAATCCAATTAGAAAAACGATCACGGATTCGAGATGACCTGGCCCTGTTCATTGCACGCCATCATGCCCATTAGTTGTCATGAATGTGTTCCTGTCAGGCGGATGGGAAAATGTCAGAATTAGTTGAAATTCTCGTAAGGAAAGCGTTACATCGTATATATGCTAGTCTTGTTAAATATACGATGGACTTTGTTAACAGGAATATTGATTCCTCACCATAACACGTGTACCTATATCTCTTTTAGGGAAAAAAATCTTCATCTCATGACATCCATTCAGGCTAACGGCGTTGCGAGGATGATGATGTCTTATTCCGTTGAATAACCAACACAATATTGGTAAACATTGAATCAAGGATATTAAATGTAGCCGGACATTCCTTTATGATATTCGAACACTTCTTTCTATAGCACTGAACTGGTTTTATATCTTTTTTTATATAAATGCTCGCGTGCAGCAGTTTGTTAAATTATAAATTCTATAGCTGCAATTTTCTGTAGCCATGAAATGGAGACATCGGAGATGCTTATTTTAATCATCCGTTTAAACTCCATACATAGTTCATGATTGTAACAAAATATCTACACACGAGTTAAAAACATATTTTTATCATACGAGTCAAGCGGGAAACATTTAGATTTTCTTTTTATTTATTACTTTGAAAAAATTGAAAAACGTAGATCTAAACATAAAATGAAATACATGCATATTAGAAATATCAGCTCGTACTTTGGAAGGATAGTTGAGTTAACGTTTGACAAGACAACGCCATTTTGAATTTGCCGCTTTACATGGTTTGTTCAAATCTAAGGTGCTGCATCTGGTAAAGAAACCCCAAGTAATACATTATTATTATCATTTATTGGGAAACCTTCTTATTTAATCTTCGCTTTACATGTATTTTAGCCCAAACAGCAAAATCGTCGAATTTTAATGCAATGACTAGAAAGCACCGCCCTGATTGGTCAAAACTATGAAAGTTATATCATCACTAATATTATACCGAAGATGTTGTTCAATTGCATTATTCTATCAAATTGATATGTTTTTTTCACTGGCAAAATGTAATAGGTAAATGTTTTCTGAGACGTATGTTTAGATAAATATGTGAATGACACCCGAGGTTCATTCTACATTGCGTTAACCTATACTTTCTTCAACCAATCAACTAGAAGTATGGACATGATCAAATAGATAAAAGTCGATGGAAATTTGATTGTGTAATGCATATTGTATTTTTATGCTCACCGAAGGATAGTATATGATTCTCTGTCCGTCCGTTCGTCCATCATAGTTTTATCCGGAGCATATCACAAAACTATAATGAGTATCAATCATAGCGGATATATAGTTCTAATTTTACCGTCACGTTGGACCCTTATACCATATATTTCTTTCTTTTTTTAAATTATGCTTTGCACAAGATTTCCAAGACTGAGCACAATCTTTTACGTTATTTTTTTGTGAATAGTTCATGTCTAATTTGATTGGTTGACAGGTTTCCGTCTCCGCGACTTGATTGGTTGAAAGGTCTTCCGTATCCGCGACTTGATTGGTTGACAGGTTTCCGTCTCCGCGACTTGATTGGTTGAAAGGTATTCCGTATCCGCGACTTGATTGGTTGACAGGTTTCCGTTTCCGCAACTTGATTGGTTGACAGGTTTCCGTTTCCGCAACTTGATTGGTTGACAGGTTTCCGTCTCCGCGACTTGATTGGTTGACAGGTTTTCCGTCTCCGCGACTTTGTTGGTTGACAGGTTTCCGTCTCCGCGACTTGATTGGTTGAAAGGTCTTCGGTATCCGCGACATGATTGGTTGACAGGTTTCCGTCTCCGCGACCTGATTGGTTGAAAGGTCTTCCGTATCCGCGACTTGATTGGTTGACAAGTTTCCGTTTCCGCAACTTGATTGGTTAACAGGTTTTCCGTCTCCGCGACTTTGTTGGTTGACAGGCTTTCCGTCTCCACGACTTGGTTGGTTGACAGATTTTCCGTCTCCGCGACCTGATTGGTTGAAAGGTCTTCCGTATCCGCGACTTGATTGGTTGACAAGTTTTCCGTCTCCGAAAACTTGGTTGGTTGACAGGTTTTCCGTCTCCGCGACTTTGTTGGTTGACAGGCTTTCCGTCTCCGCGACTTGATTGGTTGAAAGGTCTTCCGTATCCGCGACTTGATTGATTGACAGGTTTTCCGTTTCCACGACTTGTTTGGTTGACAGGTCTTCCGTCTCCGCGACTTGATTGGTTGACAGGTTTTCCGTCCACGCGACTTGGTTGGTTGACAGGCTTTCCGTCTCCACGACTTGATTAGTTGACAGGTTTTCCGTCTCCGTGACTTGATTGGTTGAAAGGTCTTCCGTCTCCGTGACTTGATTGGTTGAAAGGTCTTCCGTATCCGCGACTTGATTGATTGACAGGTTTTCCGTCTCCGCGACATGGTTAATAGACAGGTTTTCCGTCTCCGCGACTTGATTGGTTGACAAGTTTTCCGTCTCCGAAAACTTGGTTGGTTGACAGGTTTTCCGTCTCCGCGACTTTGTTGGTTGACAGGCTTTCCGTCTCCGCGACTTGATTGGTTGAAAGGTCTTCCGTATCCGCGACTTGATTGATTGACAGGTTTTCCGTTTCCACGACTTGTTTGGTTGACAGGTCTTCCGTCTCCGCGACTTGATTGGTTGACAGGTTTTCCGTCCACGCGACTTGGTTGGTTGACAGGCTTTCCGTCTCCACGACTTGATTAGTTGACAGGTTTTCCGTCTCCGTGACTTGATTGGTTGAAAGGTCTTCCGTCTCCGTGACTTGATTGGTTGAAAGGTCTTCCGTATCCGCGACTTGATTGATTGACAGGTTTTCCGTCTCCGCGACATGGTTAATAGACAGGTTTTCCGTCTCCGCGACTTGGTTGGTTGACAGGTTTTCCGTCTCCGCAACTTGGTTGGTTGACAGGTTTTCCGTCTCCGCGACTTGGTTGGTTGACAGGTCTTCCGTCTCCGCGACTTGGTTGGTTGACAGGTTTTCGGTCTCCACGACTCCTTGCTGAGTATCGTCTCACCGACGAACGTCATTGTCACTATTAAGTATTAATCACTGACCGACATTTTCCTTAATCATATTATTCATGTTACAGGGAATATCACAAACCAATGTAGAGACTTTCCGGAGAACAAGAGATCGGGCACGAACAAGTTTTTCGTATGTCCAGAAGGTCGATGTCTCCCTGCAGAAGGTCATGACAATGTCGTCTGCAACTACTTTCCCGACTGTGTTAACGGCGAAGACGAGATGGGGTGTGGTGAGTATTACTTCCTATATTAGACTTTCCGACTGTGTTAACGGCGAAGACGAGGTGGGGTGTGGTGAGTATTACTTCCTGTGTTAGATTTTCCCGACTGTGTTAACGGCGAAGACGAGGTGGGGTGGGGTGATTATCACCTCCTGTGTTAGATTTTCCCTACTGTGTTAACGGCGAAGACGAGATGGGGTGTGGTGAGTATCACTTCCTGTGTTAGACTTTCCCGACTGTGTTAACGGCGAAGACGAGGTGGGGTGTTGTGAGTATCACTTCCTGTCCACGGAGTAAACAGGGCGGTTGGATGTATTTAAAGGTAACTTTCTCTATCAGTGCGTCCATCTGTAGTCAAGCGTTCTGTCCAACAAATTTCATTAACCACTCCACCGATTTAGTTCACAGTCACACTACCATATAGCCGTCTATTTTCGCGGGGATGATATTTTCGCTGTTTCGCGGTACACATCCGTGATCGCGAAAATATAAGCCATGAAATAATTCGACAAGTGTGTACAAATGTCCGTTTTACATCAAGATCGCTGGTATCGTATTTGTTAAAATACTATTCGATCGTTTGAAAAGAAAATCGCGAAAATTATGACTCGTGTAAATTACCAACTATACAGTATTATATCAAACCATATAATTCAATACTGGTGTTATATTCGGTAGTCATCGTTCAGGATTAATTTTTTTTAAAAAGTCACACATGATATCTTTTCAAATATAATGAAATAAAATCAGAAATGGAGTATATCTATATCAACAGCATGAGATGGTATACCACCGGCATGTCATATCTAGACCTATTATCATTACTGATGGGTATTCCGTCTGAAATAACTTTTCCTGGTTTGTCTTCAAGCATTAAAACGATTATAAATTAAGTGTGATTGGTTGACAAGTAAATATGATTACGGTCCTTTTCAGACCCCCGTGGCAGAGCATGTGTGTTGTATCGTAGTGATATATATCTAGAATTAGATATTTTCAAAAAACTGAAAAATTAGGTTGAAGTGAACGAGCAGTCACCTCGGCGACAGTTCAATAAAATAACATTATACTATCCGTAAAGTGAATGTATCCAAATTTGATGTTTCCACAAGGACAAGTTTTGTTGATGTGTCTCTAAAAAGTAAAAGATTTATGCCTGTTTGGTTACTATTTATCACGGTTCTAGACATTTAAAAAATAACGTAATTAGACCTTCTACTCTTTGTAATTTACCAACACTCTAAACATACGCGTGCGCCACAAATTAGATCTTCTACTCTTGGTAATTTACCAACACTCTAAACATACGCGTGCGCCACAATTTACACCTTCTACTCTTTGTAATTTACCAACACTCTAAACATACGCGTGCGCCACAAATTAGATCTTCTACTCTTGGTAATTTACCAACACTCTAAACATACGCGTGCGCCACAAATTAGATCTTCTACTCTTGGTAATTTACCAACACTCTAAACATACGCGTGCGCCACAAATTAGATCTTCTACTCTTGGTAATTTACCAACACTCTAAACATACGCGTGCGCCACAATTTACACCTTCTACTCTTGGTAATTTAACAACACTCCAACTACAAATTACACCTTCTTTTAGACTTACTAAACATACGCGTGTACCACAAACTTTTTTAACACACGCGTGTACCACAAACTTTCTTAACACACGCGTGTACCACAAACTTTCTAAACACACGCGTGTACCACAAACTTTCTAAACACACGCGTGTACCACAAACTTTCTATACATACGCGTGTATTACAAACTTTCTAAACACACGCGTGTACTACAAACTTTCTTAACACACGCGTGTACCACAAACTTTCTAAACACACGCGTGTACCACAAACTTTCTAAACACACGCGTGTACCACAAACTTTCTATACATACGCGTGTATTACAAACTTTCTAAACACACGCGTGTACCACAAACTTTCTAAACACACGCGTGTACCACAAACTTTCAAAACACACGCGTGTACCACAAACTTTCTTAACACACGCGTGTACCACAAACTTTCTAAACACACGCGTGTACCACAAACATTCTAAACACACGCGTGTACTACAAACTTTCTAAACACACGCGTGTACCACAAACTTTCTAAACACACGAGTGTACTACAAACTTTCTAAACACACGCGTGTACTACAAACTTTCTAAACACACGTGTGTACCACAAACTTTCTAAACACACGCGTGTACCACAAACTTTCTATACATACGCGTGTATTACAAACTTTCTAAACACACGCGTGTGCTACAGTTTTAAACTTTTTAATGTTTACCTATTCCTCTGTGCTACATTAACATACGATATTGGATAGTGTGCTTTAAAAGACACTTTGATGTTACTGATTGATGACAAAAGATGAATAATTTCTCTTTCCTTTGTAGTAGCGTACAATCATATTTCTGCATAATTTCACAGTTATTCGTCATTAAAGCTACATGTATGTGTATCATGAGATATGCTTTATTTTGCCCCAGAAAAATAATTATGATCCTCCTCTCAAGACATGCTTTAAGTGACGAGATTGTCAGATCATTCGCTGTACACTAGACGTTATAAGAACAGTGTCATGATTCATTTAGCCTGGATTTTATTGCTGAGCAACCAGTTAAGTCTGCAATTATCATAATGGTCTTTCGTAAGGTATACGTTAGTACAACCCGAATGTTACTAAATAATATTGATAAACATTTCTTCGCGATTGTGTTTCCAACAGGTATATAATGAATTACAACTGTTTCGTCTGACTCGTCAGTGATGTATGGGACAGGATTTTCAAACCACAAGCACAATACTGCAATATTGAAAATGTCACCTCTCGTGATGATTAAAACCTTATGATATCTTATATCTTGTGTTGTTCAAGTCATCACCTGTAAATCTAGAAGTAGGTTAGAGTATCATAGAAGACAACCACTGCTGTAACCCTCTAAACTACAGTAATGGTTAATTGTCTAAAACCTCCACAAGTGCTTCAAAGATGTTAATTGACCAACTGAAGCAATAATGGCCGATGGCTTCATTTCTTGATTGAGGCACTCTTTGAACAGACAGGATATTGATAATAAACACGTCCAATGAAGGATGATGTTTCGGATGCAATAACTTTGTAAGTCTTCTACGTTCATTTTGTCATCAGTGCCGATAACAGAATATATTGTTAGAGACCCACTGATAATTGAAGGATGGCAATATACCCATCTAAAAAGGCTTTATCTCTTACTAAAAGCACTGGAAGAAAACATGCCGTGATCAATTTGACAGGAGGTTTTTGTTGGTTTTACAGTGTGCTTGTTGTCACTTAACGGAGATAGGTGACACTATTGTTTAAGTCTTGATGACACTATTGTTTAAGTCTTGATTATCCAGTACCGTTAATGTTCGGTCATGGTCATGTGCCTAACTTATCGTTAACGACGGAGACCAATTCATCTCGTAATTACCATTTTTAATTGCGCTACAATTGCACAATCATTTGAGGTTCATCTACAAATGCTACATGATAGAGAAAATATTTCATCAAAGCATGAGTCGCAAATACAAAACACATTATGAGACGTAAAATAGTAGGAACGACCTTCACATATCTATAGAGACACAAGATCCTTTATAACATTCATATTGTGTCACACAAGTGAGTAGTATAATTTAATGTAATTTAGAGATTGTACAACAGACACACATGTGAAAATGGCCTTTTCTTAATCTAGAGGGAGAATAAATAGAGCAAAACAATGAATTAAACTACATCATACCGCTGTTTCGTCCTTCTAGGACTCGTCAGTGATGCTACATCGTACAGCTATTTCGTCCTTCTAGAACTCGTCAGTGATGCTACATCATAGAGCTGTTTCGTCCTTCTAGGAGTCGTCAGTGATGCTACATCATACAGCTGTGTCGTCCTTCTAGGACTCGTCAGTGATGTTACATCATACAGCTATTTTGTCCTTCTAGAACTCGTCAGTGATGCTACATCATACAGCTGTTGCGTCCTTCTAGGACTCGTCAGTGATCCTACACCGTACACCTATTTCGTCCTTCTAGGACCTGTCAGTGATGTTACATCATACAGTTGTGTCGTCCTTCTAGGACTCGTCAGTGATGCTACATCATACAGCTGTGTCGTCCTTCTAGGACTCGTCAGTGATGCTACATCATACAGCTATTTCGTCGTTCTATTACTTGTAAGTGAAGTTACATCATACAGCTCTGTCGTCCTTCTATATCTCGTCAGTAATGCTACATCATACAGCTATTTCGTCCTCCTAGGAGTCGTCAGTGATAATACATCATACAGCTGTTTCGTCCTTCTATGACTTGTCAGTGAAGTTACATCATACAGCTGTTTCGTCCTTCTAGGACTCGTCAGTGATGCTACATCATACAGCTGTTTCGTCCTTCTAGGACTCGTCAGTAATGCTACATCATACAACTATTTCGTCCTTCTTGGAGTCGTTAGTGATGCTTCATCATACAGCTGTTTCGTCCTTTTAGGACTCGTCAGTGATGCTATAACATACACATATTTCGTCGATCTAGAACTCGTCAGTGATGCTACATCATACAACTATTTCGTCCCTCTAGAAGTTTTCAGTGATGCTACATCATACAGCTGTTTCGTCCTTCTAGGACTCGTCAGTGATGCTATATCATACAGCTATTTCGTCCTTCTAGGACTCGTCAGTGATGCTATATCATACAGCTATTTCGTCCTTCTAGAACTCGTCAGTGATGCTACATCATACAGCTATTTCGTCCTTCTAGTACCCGTCAGTGATGCTAAGGGCCTAAATCATGGAGCCTAGGAGGTGACTGAGAAAAATCAAAAGTGATAAAAAAAACAGGGGAGGTGTAGCACGCCTTTGATTAAATAAAATCCGTAAGTTTCGTGCATCAGATGAATTTAGAACAGCGTCAAGTACATGTGTATTTTCTGAACCGTGCCACTCTACGAATAAATTAAAACATGGAAAGC